TGCCAGGCTAAATTATTGGCAGTGAGGACATACATTGTTGCAATGCCTAAAATACGTTAAAAAATGTAAATATGTAGGCAATAAGGATAAACAAATGATACATACATAACGTATGATACGCACACATTGAATTTCTTCAGAGTTATCTGAACCTAGTTGTTCTGCGTACAAAAACAGATTTTTTTTTTTTTTTACAAATAGATTTCTTTTAATTAAAGAAAAAAAATTTAGATACATCAATAAAATTATATATCTGTGTATCTTTTAATTATTATTTAAGATAAATATTTTTTATCCTCAAATATTTGTGGATGTGCTTCCAAAAATATCCCCCACCCTACCTATAAAAAATTTTCATTAATGCAAGGGAAGTAACTTTTACAATATAAATCTGAGCGAATTAACATTGCAGAAAATGGAATCGACAAGCAAAGCCAGGTTCAAATTCCAGGCTTGTTTGCTGTTTAAGAAATGTGTATTTCTTAAATTAAATAAATAAAAGCAACAATTCCATAAATAATAAAAAAAAGTACATTTTGTAATGCAATATTACAGTTTACTTTAGAGTTTAGAGACGAGAGAGAAGTTAGTAAGTGCTGCTCAATTTTTTGGGAGGTGATTCGCCAGAAAACCTCTTTTTCAATTACTTTTCAAACAAAATTCGCTAATGTTAAATTTCCGAAGTAAATAATAAAAGACTTTGGTTAATGTGCCATGTTCATGAGAATAAACACATTACACAATAATTTACATATCGTGTACAACACATCAACACCACCTATTTTGGTGGTATTGAACACATCAAAAAATTACCTTTACGTAGTTATCTCCCCTACACTAACTTCAGTGTTGATACTAAAACAAGTTTTTAAATTATGATTTACTTCTTGCTTTCCTACATATTGGAAATACTCTTCTGTAGTTCCAGGCTTTAAGAACTCAGGCAAACCATTTGATCCTTCTATCAACCTATTAACCTTTTATCTCCTTTTAGCAAAATACTAATCAACTCCAAACTCCACTTGACATAAATGTAAAACAACACGACCTTGTCACCATGATTCCTGAGAAATTGGAAATGATATCCATAAACACTAAAGCTGTGGTTTTTCTCCATATAGAAACAATTTATCTATCGTATATACTGCCTCACTGCTTTAAACTTACCTCATGCTGCTAGATTCACATATCCATCACAATAAATAAATAAAATTATGAAATATTCATTGATCCATCAGTCACCATTCAGCCACAGTCCTCACACCAGACTGACATAGAAACCCTGAACATGTATACATAAGTTAAGGATCCATGTGTAGATGTTTATTGACAAAGAAAAAATAGTCCCACGATTCATTCTGCAAAATATATATATATTATCAAAAATATGTTGGAAACTATGACTTAAATGAAATATATTCTTTGAGATAATTTTTCTTCAATGGTTATTTCATATAACATTAAAAGGCATTCTTAAGTGTTGTTTACAAATAACAAAGCGCATGAATCTAATACCCAAAACGTTTGCACTATTTTCTATTTTAATTGCAAAGGTGTATTAATAATAATTGTAAGTTTTGAAATAAAGGTAGAAATAAAGGTAGATATCTGATAATTCTTACATTTAAAAAGGGGGGCGATGTAACTCCCCAGATTATAGTGCTACCTATCTGTGTGTCAACAATGAATTATCAATTATTAAGCCATACAATAGGGATGTGACCTATCTGGTTAGGCGACCTATCCACAAGTATATACCGTATTCCATGTGATTTAAAACCAAATCCATTTTATTAAAACAAAATAAAAGCAAATTTTACTAAATATTAGGGATACACAGATTTGGTGGTTTTGGTACCTGGTAAAAGGGGTAATAATTTCCTGGAAAAGTAACTTATTTAAGAAAAAAACTCATTGGTAGTTGTGAGAAAAGGATCAAGTTCACAATCAAAATCAATCAAATATCACAAGAAAAATTCTAGCAAGTACAAAACAAAGTAAATTACAAGGAAGAAGGTAGAATAAAAAAATCTCCTGAGCCGACCAAGCATAGAAATGAATACAATATGGGAACCAGTAATAAGGAGTGCCAGAGAAAAGTGATAATAACAAGAAAAATTGCAATATGAGCACTGATAAAAAATGATTGCTGAAGACATTACATTTATAATACCCAGAAATTGATACACAGATGTCCTCAAGGCCGCATGGCACAGTGAATAAAGGTGTTAGTTAAATCCAGTGACAGGTGAAAATGAAACTTAATTCTGTCATGAAAACAACAATTTAGTTGGCAAGACATGAGGAGAGGTATCATGACTGCTTCCTTTAAATCCATGCTCAGACAGGACCCAAAGAGTGTGAGTTCAATACCCAGCTAAGGCAGTGGAGAACTTGGAGAGGGGAATTAACAGAAGATAACTGATAACTGACAATCAATTAAAACATGGCATGTGGAACTAGAACAGTCTACCCCAGTGAGCAAAATAAAAGGTTCAGTTTGATATTCCAACTACCTGATGAAGGCCGGAGTATACAATGGCCAAAACGTAATAAATATGGCGACAAAGATGAGGACAATAGTTCAAATAATGTAAATAGTGTACATAATACCTCATCTCAGAAATATAAACAGAGACTATTAGAAACATTCACATTTTATGACTTCAAGGTAAATCAATTCTTTTAATTGGGTTCAACCTCACAGAAACCTTTTTATTGTACCTTCTTCCTTGTAATTTATATTGTTTTGTATTCACTAGCATTTTTCTTGTGATATTTGATTGATTTTGATTGTTCTTGTGATTTGATGCGAGTTGTCGAAGTTTGTGACAGAATGCGTTTGTGTCTTCCAAGTTCAGATTCTTCAATGTAGAGCATTGTTTTTAGAACAGTACTTGTTCTCTGTTGTGAAAATAACTGTTTTTAAGGAATAGCCAGGGGAAAATGAAACTTAATTCTGTTGTGAAAACAACAATTTAGTTGGCAAGACATGAGGAGAGGTATCATGACTGCTTCCACACACAGACCAGGTTACAGATGTTTTTAGAAGATGTCATGTCTAACTATCTGGCGTTGCATTTCCAACTCCTCAGTGTCACTTTTCTAACTCCTGCACCCCCAATATTTGAACTGCAGGAATTTTTATAATGAAAGGTCAGCTCTGATTTACCTGAAAAATTTAGATGGTCAACACAAGGATATTTAGATTTCAACCAGTTTGAGTAGCCATTGGTTAAAAAAAATCACTTTTATCAAAACAATTTATTGTAGCAGAAAAACACTTTGGTTTTTCTTTGCCTTTCCTTAACCTTCAATTTACAATTTTGTCCTTGTTTGGGATGAAATGATTAAAAAGAAAAATGATGCAGTAAATTTGTAGACAGTCAGGAATAAGTAAGGAATCAGCATCCTCATCCTTCTCCTCATCATCATCCCCCTCCTCCTCTGGTTCTGCCAAACTGTTACATGACATAATGAAAATATTTTTATTCAATTATGTCATCTGAAGAGGAATTTAATCCAATAACACACACACACACACACACACACACAGCATCCCTTTTCCCAAACAAATTCAGCAATTAAATCAGAATAAAAGTTACTCTCCACTGCTGCCAGAAATTTATTTAAAACATTTTATTCTACACAAAGCAACAATAAGATGGAATAAAACTAGTAATAAAATAATAGTGATAATGAAGAGTGTATAGAGCCAGAGTGTTGGGATAAAAAGCAACAATAATAAGATGGAATAAAACTAATAATAAAATAATAGTAATAATGAAGAGTGTATAGAGCCAGAGTGTTGGGATAAAAAGCAACAATAAGAAGATGGAATAAAAAGCAATAAAATAATTGTAATAATGAAATGTATAGAAGAGTGTTGGAATAAAAAAACAATAATAAGATGGAATAAAACTAGTAATAAAATAATAGTAATAATGAAGAGTGTATAGAGCCAGAGTGTTGGGATAAAAAGCAACAATAATAAGATGGAATAAAACTAGTAATAAAATAATAGTAATAATGAAGAGTGTATAGAGCCAGAGTGTTGGGATAAAAAAGCAACAATAATAAGATGGAATAAAACTAGTGATAAAATAATAGTAATAATGAAGAGTGTATAGAGCCAGAGTGTTGGGATAAAAAGCAACAATAATAAGATGGAATAAAACTAATAATAAAATAATAGTAATAATGAAGAGTGTATAGAGCCAAGTGTTGGGATAAAAGCAACAATAATAAGATGGAATAAAACTAATAATAAAATAATAGTAATAATGAAGAGTGTATAGAGCCAGAGTGTTGGGATAAAAAGCAACAATAATAAGATGGAATAATAAAATAATAGTAATAATGAAGAGTGTATAGAGCCAGAGTGTTGGGATAAAAAGCAACAATAATAAGATGGAATAAAACTAATAATAAAATAATAGTAATAATGAAGAGTGTATAGAGCCAGAGTGTTGGGATAAAAAAGCAACAATAATAAGATGGAATAAAACTAATAATAAAATAATAGTAATAATGAAGAGTGTATAGAGCCAGAGTGTTGGGATAAAAAAGCAACAATAATAAGATGGAATAAAACTAATAATAAAATAATAGTAATAATGAAGAGTGTATAGAGCCAGAGTGTTGGGATAAAAAAAACAATAATAAGATGGAATAAAAAATAATAAAATAATAGTAATAATGAAAGTGTATAGAGCCATGTTGGGAAAAAAACAATAATAAGATGGAATAAAACTAATAATAAAATAATAGTAATAATTGAAACTGATTTATTTACAAACTGTCATTATTGCAAATACAATGAACTGAGAATGGTAAAGATGTTTTTAGCAATAAACTGTCCAGAATTGACTGTATTCCTTTTCTTTGAATTTTATGTTTTGAAATTCAATCCAAATTTTTAACAACTTTCCCATTTTCATTTTCTGCTTCCATGATTCCAATTTTGTCAATTTTTTATCTTTTTCCAATTTCCCAATGATCTATGGCAATGGCACCAGGCACTGAAAATAACAAAAATGCATATATTCAAATGAAAAATAAATCACTGAGATTATGTTAGTCATTAGTTAAAAGTATTTTGCTAAATATTATATAATTTTCAACCCTGAAAATTTTACATATTATATGAATATGAGGGTGTGCTGAAAAACTCTTAGCCCCCAACGCAATTCACAGAATCAGTAGTTAGGATTTTGGGTATTGAAATATGTGGGTGGGTATTTGTCTATCTTTTAAATAATTATTTATTATTTAAACATAGTCATATACACATACATGCATTGCACTTCTTTCATTGAGAAATCTGATGAAACCTTAAATGGCAAAATGCATTATCAGATATATTTTGAAACAAGTCTACTTTCATGAATGTTTTCTATATATAGATAATCAAAAGTTGCTGGGAAATACTACATCTCAAACCTGACCTAAAAATTTTATTTGAAGAACCCAGCCTTCTAACATATAAGAAACTTAACGAACCTAAGAACCTTAACGAAATTATAGATAGTAACCAAATTTCAGATGATAAGTTAACCCATAATATAACAAAAATAAAAACAACAGGATTTTCCCAACCATGTAACAACAAAAGGAGCTTATTAGACACATGAATTCATTTACTAGCTCAGTCATTAAATCTATTTTCAAAATCTACCACAATTCAAACTGTAGAAATCATATATATTTAAATTTTTCAATTTTTCAATATTTTCTATTGTTCAAAACACTATATATATATATATATATATATATATATCTGTGTGCATGTGTGTGTGTTTTGAACAATAGAAAAAATTAAAATTTTTAGACACACTGTGTTGTATATTAATATTTTTTTGTTTTATTAACTCAATTACATTCCTCAACTAGTTTCACTCACCATGGCCATCATCAGGAGAAAGAAATCGCTGCTTGTTAGTAGCAGTGAACTTGTGGTGGTAACACAATGACTCAACTGATAGTAGCAGATGGGAAAAACGCGAGGAGAGTAACACACGTCCAACCTTCTCACGAGCAAAAAAAAAACCAGTGATCAGAAACAAAAATGCGCCTGCTTTATACAGCCGAGGACTGACCATGATTTGCATGCAAATGACGAGACAACGAGATTTCACGTTAACTGTCCGAGACCGCCTGGCATAAAACATGGGCGCCGCCATTTTGGTTCTTTTTACCGTTGAGCAACCGGAGTTTGCACATCGCACAGATTCGCAGGCGTTTCTGAGGTAGGCCATTTTCACAATTTTCCCCACAGAACTACAGCAGTGAATAACTGTCCATGAAGAAAGTAAACTTTATCTGTAGTTTTCATTTGTTTTTTATCATTAATTTTGGTCAGTCCTTGTGTTGGTCAAATGGCCTCTTTCAAGTTGTTTTTACAATAGAGACTGGGAGATTCCTGAGCCTCAGAATTCTCTCCTTGGTCATTTTTATTGGTTGCTGGAAATAGGATGTGTGTGTTAAGTGTATGTTATCTTTTAGTTTTATGGGAGTGTGAGTGATGTGTGTATGTATATATATTTGTGTGAGTGTATGTATATGTGCGAGACCCCAACACCTCTGCCTTGTGTGGGTGAGAAATATGGGTAGGGCTTGATTTATGGGATCATATATTAAGTCTATCTGTGTTGTAAAATATATATATATATATATATATATATATATATATATATATCCCCATTTAAGCAGTTTATTCATATCTATCTATCTCAGCATGTTCATATCTATCTCCTCATATTTATCTATCTCTGTTGCTATCTATCTGTGTATTTATATGTATTTATCAATATATCCATCTTAGTTCATCTATACCAATAGTCCCTTTATCTATCTATTGAGACAACTATACACCATAGAAGGGGAAATAATGCTCAAAGAATAAAAGTTTACAGCCATATCACGTTGAAACACAAGTTCTCATCCGATCAACAAAGTTAAGCAACCAGGCCTGATCAGCACTTAGATGGGTGACCACTTAGGAATACCAGGTACTGTAAGCTTTTATGTGTGGTTGGTGTAATGGATAATGGCTCAGAATTGTTAATCAGAAGAACCGAGTTTCAATTCCAGTTGGGTTCAATATGAACTCATCTCTTCTGTCCCCAGTTATGGGCTAATATGTAAGACTTGTATCACCAAACCTTTATTATCTTTAAAAAATCCTTACAATATAAAGTTACTTTATGGCTTTAAATAACCTGAAAAGGGTTGATAAACCATAAAAAAGGAATCAAACAGTCAAAGAATAAGGCAAAGAGCTAAATGTTAAAAACCACAAATAAATAAAAATTTAAAAAAAAGGATCTTACTTTATTCAAAGGAGCTGAACATTTTTTTCTTTGTATTCTGAAAATATTCAATAGGTTTCCTGTGTTATTGTTTGCATGGCTTCTGTTAAGTAAGAAAACATATTAATATTAGTAATATCCTGCAGATGATGTAAATAAATATTGAAATATAAATAAAATCAATCATACTGAGAGAATTTTTAGACACTGGAATATCTTCCCATTGCAAAAGCCTTCAGTGGAAATTTTATTAAGTTCAAAAAATTATCATTCTCTTCATATGCATCATTATAATATCATCACCAATATTCTTCAAATAATATCATCACCAATATTCTTCAAAAGTTGTATTCAGTTTTTCTCATGAATGAAATTGGAAATCTATACAAATCTCTTCATTGAATTTCTTCTGTACATATTTACAAGAAACTTGACAATTCTGCAAGCAAAATCTGGGATCAAAATCATGAACTTCAAATTGAATGACAAAGCAATAAAAATTGCAATCCTTGAAAAATGCCAACAACCTTGCAATCCTTGATAAATGCCAACAACCTTACAGTCCTTGAGAAATGCCAACAACCTTGCAGTCCTTGATAAATGCCAACAACCTTGCAGTCCTTGAGAAATGCCAACAACTTTGCAGTCCTTGATAAATGCCAACAACCTTGCAATCCTTGAGAAATGCCAACAACCTTGCAGTCCTTGAGAAATGCCATCAACCTTGCAGTCCTTGAGAAATGCCATCAACCTTGCAGTCCTTGAGAAATGCCAACTTTGTAGTCCTTGAGAAAAGCAAACAATTTTGCTGTCTTTGAAAGAATCAAGCTGACAGCCTTGAAACTACGAAATGCCTTTTTAACTCAATGACATTTTGCATTATTTTTAGTCATTAGTTCTTCACTTATGAAAACACTCCCTGTACTTTAACCAACTTATTCATTTTAAAAGATTTTTATTTATTTTTGGTAGTTTTTATCTTATAAAATAAAAATAAATCTCCGACATCACCAGTCAATCATTTTGGACATATCAGACTGCAACTAATCATGTAATCAACATTTTGACTACATTGCTTCTATGACTTTACCCATAAACTAATCACACACACCACACACACACACACATGTGTAACAAGATTGTTTGTTTCCATCAAACCCTTATATACCCTAATCATTCTTTGATTTGATTGTATCTCTTTCATTTCTGACTTTATACACACATAGAATCTTTGATAGTGAACTTCTCGTTGTTTGTTAAATAAATGTTTTGTTGTTATTATTGGGACAAATGTATTTTCTTCAATCCTCATTCATGACAGAGCCTTAAATAAGTCATGTTTTGTTTGAATTTCTTGGATGAGAAGTACATGCAGACTATTGTTCATGTCTTGTTTTTTTTTTTATCACAATGTTTCAACCATTGTTCCCTCAGGTCTTCATCAGGTGCATGTTGATCCATGTAATCCTAGGGAATTTTGAACTGAAACCTTTATTTTATTCAAGGTGGTAAACTGTTCTCATTCTGTTGTCCATGTCTAAAGATATATACTCTAGTTATTATTTAGTACCGCTCAGTTACTGCTCACTTTGTTTCCATGACCCTGTCCAGGGACTGAACTCACAATCACTATGTCATTAAATTCACAAAACATTCACTCAACCCATAGATTAAATAAAGGGTTCAGTTTGGAATTCCCTGAAAGTTACTCAGATCGACAATTTCATGGAACAAATTTGGTAAATAGAATTTTGACTAATTTTCATTGACCAAACTAAAAATTAATATTTATTTACACACCTTTGTGGATTTCCAAATATAGCACTTAGATTACTTCACTAGCCCTAAAGTGATAAAGATATTTGATTCCCTTTCCTTCTCCCTCGTAACACTTGCCAGTAACTCTGTGTTTTCTGTTTTGTAGGCCACAATTGTTTATCCTGTATATATTTTATGTTCTGTTTTATTAAATTAAATATTTGTTTGTGATTTAGCTCTGTGTTGTGGTAAATCATTTTTTTTCCTTTGTTACAATTATCAACACGTAACAAAATGACCAAATTTGTTCCATGAAATTCTCTTTTGGGTTTTGGTTGGTCGGCAATTTTTTATAGAGATACTTTCGGCTGGATATAATAGTCCTCGATTTAAAAGCCGGAGTTGATAACAGCAGAAATTTCCCTTCATCAACTAACTACCCTTTTCCAAAATCCCATTTTTATAGGGGCTAACACCTAATTTGCATATTTCTAGATGTTTCTCGAATCATCTAGATTTTTCTCGAATATACTAGAATGATCTAGAATCTTCCAAACATTCTATTTCTAATTTCTCTATTTTACAACTACTTCATGAATGAAAACTTTTTTGTAATAACAAGTAGAACTCAGTGGAATCCCTTATTATAGAAATGCATCCTTGTAACAACATGCATACTATGACATTTTCATTCAAGAAGAAGAAAAAGAAGCCTTTAAAGCAAAAAGTACCTACCCTTCAACAAAAGAACTGACAATATCCAAAGCAAATTTCTTCAAAGCTGCCACTTCATATCGGGCATAAGTAAATGTGCCCTGAATACCTGCATTTTCAAATACCAATGTCGTGTTCTCTGGATATTTCTTTGTTATTTTACTCATGTGCGGATCAGAGAAAACAATGCTGTAGGGCAGAATCTGAAGATATGATAAGCAGTCAGGGATCTCCGCCGTGCAAGCAAAATGTAGAAATCGGTGTTTGGCTTGTCTCTGACGATTGAAGCAAATAGTGAGTTCCTCAAGTCCCTTTGCTGTTGATATGTATTCAGCCGACACAAACATTATAATGTGATCAGCTTGGTTCAACAAGGACAACCTGTCCTGATGCGATTTACTAAATAAAAGGATTTCCATCCGAGGCAAATAATCTAAGAGGATATTCATTAAGGATGCAGCAAACTTTGTGTCATTTGGAGCAAAGCAAAATAACACACTGCAGGCGTCGGCCCACTTGGGGGTCTGACATTTGGGCACAACAGTCTGCTTCTCTATTTTATAATTCTCCTTAAACAAATGTTCCCGGAACTTCACTGTTTTGTCTTTGACTGAAATCCTTTTTTTCATCTGGAAAGATATGGCAAATTGTAGAAGATTTTTAAAAATGGCTACACAACAAAAAATAGAATGAAGTATAACAAGAGATTAAGGTTTTTTTTTTCTTTGGCAAGGATTACTTAGCATTTCCTGTGTTTTCACACATGTCAAGAGAGATCCCTTCACTCAGTTATTTTTCTTTGAGTATGTCATTATGAACCTTAATGTCCTTGAACATTTGGTCAGCATTTCATATGTGGTGTGTGTGTGTTGCCTGAAACAGAACAGACAGGGAATGTCTGTTAAACTTTTGGCAAATTTTGTCTGGTGTTGAATAGGTCACTTGTAATCAGATTTATATATATATATATATATATATATATATATATATATATAGAGAGAGAGAGAGAGAGAAGAAAGAGAGGGGGAGCAGGGTAATGAAAACTTTATACCAGAATTCATTTTGAAAATTTTCTCATCAGGCTGGGAAAAACCTCACACTTTACCATTCATATATATATATATATATATATATATATATATATATATATATATATATATATATATACACACATACATAGGAGAGAGAGAGAGAGAGAGAGGGAGAAAGAGTGGAATGATGAAAAATTTATACCAGAATTCATTTTGAAATTCCTTTCTCATCAGGCTGAAAAACTCACACTATACCATTCATATATATATATATATATATATATATATATATATATATATATATATATATATATATATATATATATATATAGGAAGACAGAAAGAGGGAAAGAGAGAGTGAGAGAAAGAGTGGGATGATGAAAAATTTATACCATAATTCATTTTTGAAATTCCTTTCTTATCAGGCTGAAAATCTCACACTATACCATGACACAGTGGATAAAGGCATTGGTTAGATCCAGTAACAGGATCCAAAGAGTGTGAGTTCAATACCCGGCTAAGGCAGTGGAGAACTTGGAGAGGGGAATTAACAGGAGATAACTGATAACTGACATCCCTTAAACATGGCACATGGAACTAGAACAGTCTACACTAGTGAGCGAAATAAAGGTTTCAGTTCGACATTCCAACCCCCTGAAGAAGGCCAGAGCATACATTGGCCGAAACATTGTGATAAATATGGAGACAAAGATGTGGAAAATTGTCCGAATAATGTAAATAGTATATATATATATATATATATATATATATATGTATATGTGTGTCAGGCTGGATGTGCAGATAGGGTTATGGAATGAGAAATTGTCAAATTTGTTACATTCACTTTTCAATACATACTCTTGAGAAAGGTATGAATTCCTCTCTTCTCTATCCAGGTATGGCTCAAGACAGGCTGAGCTCTCTAGCCTTAATTGGCAACTAGTCTAGCAAATGGCAAATTAAGCTCTAAAATTAAACCACCTAAAAGACTAGTGAATATTGATTGCTTTATTGGGATTTCAACCCTTGGATCAATTATTTGAATCTATATACAAAAATGTATGTACAAAAAAAGCATAAAAAAGAAAGATTAGTAAAAGTAATGATTGCAAGTTATGTCCCCTTGCATTAGCAGTGTCAAGAGAAGTCTTCCTCAATGAGTTGAATAAAGAGTTTTGTTTAAAATTCCCAGAATGTAACCAAATATGAGAGACATTCAAGAAAGGCCTAAAGAAATAATGGCTGAAATATTATGATGATAATAACTAAAATAATGTTCAGAATGAATCAGTAGAGATAATTTTTTGTGCAATATTTTTGTGCAATATTTTTGTGCAATATTTATGTGCAATATTTATGTGCAATATTTATGTGCAATATTTTTGTGCAATATTTATGTGCAATATTTTTGTGCAATATTTATGTGCAATATTTTTGTGCAATATTTATCCAAAATTTTGAAAAGCTAATCATACTGTCTGCCAAATGCCCTATTTAAAAAAAATAAAAAAATAAACAGAAAATTAAAAACATTTATACCTCCTTGGTGATCAACCAATGAAAATCTTTCCAGATGCTGCCATTCTTAAAGCTTAAATGTAGCTGGGCTGCCAATTTCTCCATGGTTGGAACTAAAAGACTTTCTCGGGCATCAATAATATTAAGTTGACCAAACCAGTCAGGAATAGATTCGACATCTATAATGCATATTGGAATCAGTAAGGGTTGATTTTTCTGCAAGAAGAATTATTTAATATTATGGGCAGCAGACACTTCAAAAATGCAAAAGATAAAAGTAACGACAAAAACACATGCGCAAGAAATTAAATATTAAATGAACAAAGCTGTTCACAACATCATCAAGACCTGGTATTTAACAAAATTTAGTTATGTATACAAAAGTTTGTAGAGTTTTGGTGACAGAGAAATAAATAAAAATTAAGAAAACCAAAATTTCACTATTTCTAAATGTTGTGGTGTCCTCCCTCTAAAGAGTCTATGTTAGACTCTTCCACCTACTATAAGATTGACAGAAGTCTTCAGGAAACTGTGAATAGATTGAGTGTTAGTTCATTCCCAAGATGTTGTGACCAAGTAAATGGTTAAGTAATAACAAAACCAGGTTTGCAGATATATCGTATATTAAACAGTAAGTACATCAGAAGAGTATTACACGACTAGTGAGAGGGTATCGAATGAACTAGCACTCAATCTACTGTACCCCGAAGCCTTCTGTCCTACTAATCTTATAGTAGGTGGAAGAGTCTAACATAGACTCTTTAGAGGGAGGATACCACAACACTAAAAATAGATGGATATCAGAAATTGTCAGGCAAATAAAGTCGGAAAGCTTTCACAGTCAGGATGTAAGAAAAGAAATAAACAAATAATAACAAGGAGACCCAGAAGTTCCCCATTTCTAAAAATAGATAATTCAACCAACCAGTCAGAAAACTTTCACAATCAGGATATAATGCTGTGAGCCAATGAAAAGTGAGCAACCTTTTCAAAGTGGATCTATAGAAGTGTATATAAACAGATGGAAAATCAACCTAAATCAGATAAATAAATAAACTTTGTTCATTATTTGATGCTGCACTCATCATAACATACCCATAGATTAAATATGACATTTACACAAATAACTGGTGATCTGAGATGGCTAATCTGTCATTGCTACACTGAAAACAAACATACTTTCCTTCACCACATGGTCAAGCAGCAGCTACAACATTTGGATACATGACTATACATAGATATATTTACTTCCTTCTTTACTTTTTCTCTGTCTCTCTATTGCTTGTATGTGCCAAGATTAATACACTTGATTGCTTGAAATTACAACTTTCATCTTATCCTTTTGTATTAAATATTTATTTTGCATTTTTCAACACTTTGTGCATTATCTTTTAATCATTCTACAAGACCAATACACACCCAAATCAGTTATATCAATATGTGGTGGGAACAGACATTGTTGTAAGACAGTGATTCCCAAACTCTGGGCCAAATTTTTGGAATGAAAATTTGCTCGCACTCACCAAGTTTTATGTGATAAAAAGTACATTCAAAAATAAAAACAGAGAGATGGTTAAAGGGAGATAACTGCAAGTTCAAAGTCAGAACATTATCATTGATAACTCTCTCCTTCAATTTGCAGAGTCTAGTTACTATATTCTTAATATTTGATGTAATGTTAAAATATCACAATGATAAAAATCAGTCAATAATTATTTATAACAATTTATACTGGGACTCATGCATGCAATTACAGGTAATCCATAATAATATTCTAAAATTTGAAATCATATTTATTTTTGGCATATGAATTTTTTGAAACTGTTTCTAAATCTTTGATTGTCTTTCAATCATTCCACTTCACCTGCTATCCTCTTCTGCCTCACCTGCTATCCTCTTCCGCTGCACAACATTTAGGAACCACTGTCATAAGATAACTGATAACCTTCTTATCCTCATAATAGCACATGATTAATTTTTTTAAAAAAAGGGGTAGAAAGATTATTTTGTACCAATCTAGCAAATTCCACCCTGGCAAAAGACATCACAGTTGCGTTCTGTGGCGTTAAAATGATCAGTTCAAATTTCAACAATGCTGTTGCATTGTATAATCATTACGGCCATTAATTTTCAAAATTTTTTCAGAAAATTTTATATGCATCTTATTTTCAGAAATGGTCTCATTCCAGAAATTGAGTATGAGGGAAAAAGGTCTCGTTCCAGAAATGAGTACGAGGGAAAAAGGTCTCGTTCCAAAAAATGAGTATGAGGGAAAAGGTCTCATTCCAGAAAATGAGTATGAGGAAAAAGGTCTTGTTCAGAAAATGAGTATGTGGGAAAAGGTCTTGTTCCAGAAAATGAGTATGTGGGAAAAGGTCTCGTTCCAGAAAATGAGTATGATGAAAAAGGTCTCATTCAGAAAAATGAGTACGAGGGGAAAAGGTCTTGTTCCAGAAAATGAGTATGAGAGAAAAGCAACAAAAAATTGTGTGCTTAAAATTGAAATAAAAATATTGACTGTAGGATAATAGATTTATTATTTTTTATTAATTTCTAACCCAATACAAGGCTCAAAAGACACTCAAAGTAAAGGATTACAGTCTGAAGTTGATGCATATAATAGAAGGAAGAATGAATTTCTGTTTATGAGGATATGTAGGAAAACAGTTGAAGATAATTCTGTGTGTATTAGTTGAAGAGGTTAAGATTTGTGTGATCAAGGAAGCATCCTCTTGGGAGTCTGTCCCACAAAGTAGCAGTTTCTTGAAAGAAGCAGTCTGAATGATACTTCCTTCTTTCCAGATACATTAAATTACAGGATCTTTTACTATATTCCCTCTGCCACCTTGAAAGTTCTGAGTACAAAAAATATTATAAAAAGCAGACAAGTGATTGTTTTCAATTATGTCATATGCTGGATCTCTTATAAAATGTCTTTGAAAGAGGCAGAAATTCTCAGTCTATGAAATTGATGATCTTTCTTCCTCTTAGTAGATTTTCAATTCTAACATGATGTGGGAATTTTTTTTCTTTTATTGAGAAGTTTGTAGGTAAATTTATTAGAAGACAGACAAAGGATTTCACCCAGATTGATACATCAAATCCTCTTGTTCTGCTAAAATGCAACTTTAATGGGAGGACATTTTCCATTCTTTCTATCTTTAAACAAAAGAAGACAAACGCCATTAAGACTTTTCTCAGGATCCGAAGGAGGATAAAGAAAAAAAAAATTAAACAAACAAAAGTTGAAAACAAAAATGATGACAAAGGAAACTGGAAAAATGCCAAAGAAAAAGAAAATAAATTATCGGCCAAAATAAAAAATTTCAGACCAAAATCAAAAATCCAAGCCAGTCAAATACAAAAGAGAAAAGGTGAAAAATTTTTAAAAATAATAATTCTGATAAAAATCTTGGATCCAAAACTGAAATCTAATTCAGGCCAATACAAAAGAGAAAAGGTGAAAAACAAGAAAAAAAAAACACCAAATCTGCTGAAAATCTTGCACCAATATCCTATATTATATATAATATATAGCATATTATATATAATATATGGGATATTATATATAATATATAGGATATTATATATAATATATAGGATATTATATATAATATATAGGATATTATATATAATATATGGGATATTATATATAATATATAGGATATTATATATAATATATAGGATATTATGTATAATATATGGGATATTATATATAATATATAGGATATTATATATAGTATATATAATATTATATATAATATATGGATATTATATATAATATATAGGATATTATATATAATATATGGATATATATATAATATATATAGGATATTATATATAATATATATAATATTATATATAATATATAGGATATTATATATAATATATATATATATATATATATATATATATAGGAGGATTATATATAATATATAGGATATTATATATAATATTATATATGCTGATAAAATAGAGTCACTCACCTCTTCTTCTGATATACATTTTGCCACAACAATGTTGAATTCCTCTTGACACATGGCTGACTCAAAGTAAGCAGGGGACACCAAGATAATACAACATGTCGTTACTTCAAGGGCATCATAGATCGACTGCTGCCAATTACTACCTGAAATATAAGACTTTTTTTTTAAATTCTGCCTAATATTTGGATTTGATATTTCAAAACCTTTCAACAGCCACAAAAATTATATAAGGATGTTCATCAATAAGTTCATCACCTAATATTGAAAAAAAATTGTATTTTACATAAGAAATGCTAATTTCCACAGTTTTTGTAAATGTACTTAATCCAGTAGTGAATATTAATCAAATATTACAGAGTCAAAATTTCATCCAAGAATGATGTGTCTGCTACAGACTTATTGATCATTAATTTATTTTTTCATGGCTTTTCAAACCTTTGTCTGTTTTTGAAAGCCAAAACATATTTTGGATTGTAAGAAAAATTATTTTTTGGGAATAATATTCCATTAACAATTTTTGGGAGATAACAAGACTTTTCCAGATACAAGTCCTACTATTTAACTCATAGCTGAGAAAAGAGACATGAATTCATACTTTCTCAAGGGTATTTGCACGTAAATAAATATAACAAAGTATACTTGCATTTTAACTCGGCTACCTGATTTCTCATATATATATATATATATATATATATATATATATATATATATATATATATATATAAATATTAATGGATTCTCCCATTGATTTTGACATATGAGAATCTGACAGCTTAACTGATTCAGTTATGAAATTTTGTGCGATAATCTTAAGTGCCATTTAAGACCTGCTAGTGATTTACAAAGGAGGCCACATATGGAGAAAGAGTGAGTATTGTAAGATGAGATTGGCTGACCTTTTAGATCTTGCTCTCACTTCTTGAAGATGATTCAGACAAGCAGATTGAAAACTGCTGAGTCCACTAAAACACGTTGATCTCATTCAGCCCACTCCAAGGCTAAGCACTCAAGGTTGTTATGTGGTATATTGACAGCTGACAAGTAAATATATACACATATACATTTATATATATATATATATATATATATATATATATATATATATATATATATACACATACACCTTTTGGAGGTTTGAAAATTATATTGAAGAAATATACCTCTTTTTAGTTAAGGCTTTAAT